GGGGGCTGAAGGCTAAATCATGCATTTATTTAATTGTATTCAAGCGTATTGTCCAGTTTTTTATGCAAAGGGGTGTCCACAAAAAATGCGTACTTGGTTTTTGTCTAAACACAACTTTACGGTTATCCGTAAACAGAATAAATTGTAAGTATGTTTTACTTATTTATGACTAATAATTTTTTTTACACCCAATGAATTAACAAAGTTTTTGCGTTGTATAGCTAGGGAGTGGTGAAAGTATATATTTTATAATATGACAATGAATTAATGAAATATTAATTACAAACTAAAAAATAATTATAACTTCAATTGATTGAAAACAGTAGGAAAAGGATAGAAAGGAAAGCACGGGCAGCCGTAGTACATTTGAATTTCCGAGCCGGGTCAACCTTTCCGGTCCTAGTTTGTACTGCATCGCCCGGACATTGGGTAAATAAAGCAGACACTCAATAGGACTACCTGGTGCAACTAGGTGGACGCGGTCAGACTTTAGGCTGAATTTACTTTTACTAAAGGTGCGTGAAAGAACGTTTCTATCATTTTATTAGGCAGTACGTTTATAAATGGTCTCAGTCTAGAGTAACATACATTGGAAAAATGTAGGTATTATTTAAAATTGAAAATGACTTTAAAATCTTGATCAATGTGTGTACATTTAGTGCGGGAATTTTATTGTGACGTACAATGGTCTGTGTGTATATCAATAAAAGCACTTTTTCTAACTAAGCTTTTTTTAATTACATGTTTACAAGGAAGTTTTCTCAATGTTGTATCCATGATGTTTCAAAGCTTGGCAGAAATGAAAGGCGAAGTACAGAAAGTCGTCTTGAATGTCTTAATATACTTAATATACTTAATATACTTAATATACTTAATATATACGACTTCAGTAGGAGACAATTTATAGTAAAAATTGTTGGAATTTGTTGACAAATTAGATGTGCCGGTCTTGTTCAATAAATTGTTATTACATGTTTTTTATAAGTAATTTTTATCCAAGCTGTCCTGTTACGTCAAAGTTGAAAATAAACAAGCACCCCTTACTTTATAAAATTCCAGAAAATCTGCAGAAAATCTTTGTAAATAATGAGAGATTATAGAAACTAATAATTGAATAAGATTACTTGTTTTCGATAATAATAGTTAATTTTTATTTTCTCAACCTGTACCTAAACAACTAATTAGTTTACCGTAGAATTTTTGTTACATTTTACATGTTACGATTAGTTGTTTAGAAACATGTTGAGCAAATTAAAATAAACTCTTATGATTATAAATATTATGACTTTAACCTTTCTAGCACATCATTCTTGCCCCACAGACAACTGCAATTTAAAGGCCGAGAAATCATATATAATCCATGTCTTTTTTTCATTTGAAAAACATTAGGTTTACAGTTATGTTATTTTAAAATAGGTATGAAGGCTTTAAAATATACTTTTTAATGTAAATAAACAACTGCATTTTACAGACGTTAATTCTCAAGGAAATTATATTTTCAACTTACATATTNTAGGAGACCCTTCATGCAAAATTTACAATGCCCGATTAACAACGGTACCCTTGCAACCTAGGTCTGATTAATAATGAGAAAGATATTGTCGTTTTTCTAGGCTTAAAAGTGTTTAATTCTGTTAACTCTTACATGTTTTTCTGCAGTAGAAATGCGCCAGTCAATTTTGTAGAGAACCCACAATTGAAAATAATCACTTCACTTTATTAGACGAAGCTTTTAAGGGTACCATTGTGAATAGGGCGCCATCTTTGCATGAAGACTTGACTTGAATTATGCTTACAGTCCCTTTAAGATATACAGTATAGAAGCATGGGATAAAGTTTTGAATGGATTCTTTACGCATCAATAGTTTGGAAGTTAAAAAGAGGGCAGTAGGACTTCAGCCCTTGAACGTATAGATTTGATATACTACAGTTTAACCCAATACTTCTTAACTAACTGATTATGGAATGTTGCAGATATTTCGTTTTTAATTGAATAATTATATTGAGCTCTTTAAAACTGTTCCCGCTTATTCATGGCTATTTTTATATATTTACAATTACTGAGCTGATTTAGGTATAATAGTAAAAATCCCATTGAAAAATTATCAAGAAAAGATTTCAAAAATTCTTTCGATGACTCCGAAGTTCTGGGTTAAATAGTAGCAGAAATATCCGGCGTTGCCTGTGGTATTTTAGAATCGTCCAATGCTTGGTAGAAAACTATTCTCCTGTGTCTCCCTGTGTTACGATTTGAACTGATATTCTTACAATTTAAAGTTCGAAACGGTAACGGAAGTTGGTCTTTTAACGGAAAAAATATCTGTATACACTAGACACGAGGCGGTTTATTATCCTTCCTACTTTCCGTCCGAGCTATAGCTATATACCAAGAGCTAATGAGCTGCCATGCTTATAGGCAGGACTACTTGCAATCTGAGCTTAGCTCTGGGTCCGTATGAGAACTGAAGGGGTTACATTAATAGAACAATCCAATCTAAGCTTAGCTCCGCGTCTGTTTTAGAAATGAAGGGGTTACATCAATGAACCTATCCTTATTCCGAACTATTGAGCTCATACTGGTTACAATATATCTACAATATACATGAATAATACACACAAATTTTTGGATAATTTTTATCTTTTAACCAAAAAAATGATCAATTCTAAATTTTAGCTGATTTAAAATCAGTTTTCCTTCTAGCTAACATATTTTTACAGTAAATTTCATTTCTATTAGATAATACAATATAAAAAGAATAATTACATTGGTCGTCGTATATAACAATACAATAAAGACTTTCTATATCTGTTATAATTTCCAGCAACCTTTAATACAATTTTTTAATGATGATATCATACGTAAATCCTTATAAGTACTCTCAATTGCAAAGAAAAAGATATCTTCATCCTTGGCCCTTCAATTAATAAACCAAATAAAAACACAAGGTGCCGCTATTGTTTGCAGCCCTTAATTTAGAGATGTGCAGGTCATTTTTTTAAAATAAATAAAAATAAAACAGTTCTTAAATTAAAGGGATCCAAAGTTCTCACGCAATAAAAAGATAAACATTTTGCGGATTACATCATATGTAAGATACATGTACTTTTCCTATACAGCAAACATATTTCAGAGTTTAAGAAAACTGAAATTAAAGAGAATGTACTTTCAGCTGAAGAAAGCTAACTCAATTGTTTCTCAATACAAAAATAAATCAAGAAAATAGAGAATTGTGCTGGACCGAAAATCTATAAGGAAGAGAACATATTTTATATTTTTCTGCGTTGATTTAGTTTTATATATATACATTTAACATTATTTGAACACAAATATTCAAATAACAAAGAATAATTTCCTTTTAATTGTTTAGCAACACTTGTCAAAACTAAAAATTCCAAAATGTCTGCAGCTGTTTATAGAAAACAAGGAAGTTTTCTAGTTTTCTGTTAAAATATCAAAAAAAACCTTAAATTTAACCATTAACAAATTATAAAAAGGTTAGACTAGTAGAAAGAACAACCAGCACTTTTCTGGTAGTTTGATCTAAATGTGAGTAAAAATTAAATATATGTTTTGTAGACGTGAGAATTAAAATCAAGGTTTGCTACGCATGCCTAGCTCCTTGAAGGGCTCTGGCAGGATTTCTTTAAAATTCTTATTTTTTGTCATTCTTAATTACAACCGTGAACATTCCTTATGGTTTGATTATTTTTTTTGGTTGATTTGATTATTTTTTATTTTATTTAATTTGGTTAATTTTTTTCGTTTTTTAAATTTGGTTTGGTTTATTTTAGTTTACTTTAGTTTAACTAAAATATAGTTTTAATACATAATATTCAAATAGCATTTAATAAAAAAAAAGTTTTTTTTTCTGTTGTGTACATAACCCTATTTTTAGAAGAAAAACAACGTGCACCTGTTTTGTACAAATAAAAATAATAAAATAATAAAATATATCAATAAATGGTATCAAGTTATATACAGGGTTACTCCCAAAGGATGAGACTTCAGAGACGACCGTAATATATTCATTCAGAGACGACCGTAATATATTCATTCAGTCTTTAAAGTTTCATTCCAAGTTCCCTGCAGCTGTTAATTTGTTTCAATATTTTGTAAACCATTAATATTGCCATCAAAACACTATAATTAACTATAAACAACGTCAGGTCATTACATTTAAAGAGTTTAAGGTCGTCATTATAAACTCTGTTCTTTGTGGTTAACCCTGTGAAGAGTGTATTTGATATATTTTCTTACTTTTGTAAAAACTTCAGAGTAGATAAATACAACGGAAATATAAATAATATTTGGATATATTTGATACTAGATGAAGTGCATAGCGTTGCCCGTGGAATTTCAAATATTGTACATGATTCTGTGTCGGAGCGGTTAATCTGAGTATACCATCTGTTATGATCTGTACTCTCGTATCATGGGGGCAAATAATAACATTTTTTATATTTCTTACATCTTTCTAATTGTATTACAGACTACAATTTGGCTGGCTGTACCATGCATTAAAAATTAGAATTAAATAAAGGAATAAATACTGCTTTAACTCTATTATAATATTTTTTTACATTTTTGTACTAATCATTTATAAAATTAAAAATACAAATTGTAAAAAAAATAAGAGTGCTAGTGCAAAAAAAGTCCGCAAGTTACTTTAGCAGCGAAAACACGCTTTAAAATTAACAAATTTTAATTCTTAATCATTCTTTGTCAGACAAAGATTAAAAGGACACTGTTGTTAATCGGGAATGATTTTTACACTAAAAGTAGGTCCGGTACTTCGATGTACTTTATAAAGATTAATTTACCATGAAATATTAATTAAACGTGTTTTCAGAATGAAGTAGAATTTATTGAACAGGCGTATCTTCACCTTCAAAAGGAGTTTATAGATCTTCAACGTTCATATCAACTCCTACAAGGCAGATTAAACCCCTTAAATACAGGTAAATGTTCACTCCTTCACGCCAGATTANGGTCCGGTACTTCGATGTACTTTATAAAGATTAATTTACCATGAAAATATTAATTAAACGTGTTTTCAGAATGAAGTAGAATATATTGAACACGCGTATCTTCACCTTCAAAAGGAGTTTATAGATCTTCAACGTTCATATCAACTCCTTCAAGCCAGATTAAACCCTTTAAATACAGGTAAATGTTTACCTCCTTCAAGCCAATTAAACCCCTTAAATACAGGTAAATGTTTAACTCCTTTCAGCTTCGCGCCCATCTTCTATTAAACCTTTCAATTGTGGCTTTATCTCTGAGCATCTTTTCTTTGTACAGTATGAAACAAAAACGAAAAAAAGTTTGCGGATTTCATAATATTTTTTCGCGCATTTTCAAAATTAATTTTGAAAAAATAAAAAAAAAACTTTAAACAAAAATTTCTAAAAATTTTATCATTCATAAACCAGCTTCCCTGGGGCCACGTGAGATCCCACAAAAAAAATTTGGCCTGATCGGTTCAGCCGTGTTGACGTTTATTGGATACAAACAAACAAACAAACATCAAGACACACAGAGACAAGCTAAATTTATATATACAGACGGGCATTATGGTCTTCTTTCTGTTGGTAAAATAGTGGACAGTTAAATCATATATGTTACGCATCCTATCAATAAGTTAAATCATATATGTTACGCATCCTATCAATAAGGAAGTGGACAGTTAAATCATATATGTTACGCATCCTATCAATAAGATAAATCATATATGTTACGCATCCTATCAATAAGGAAGGAAAAATTATTTCTAAAGAAAAAGTTAACCCATTAACTTATTGGGCAGACTGTATCATGCTCCACAAAAGTGTAATTTGTTAAATGAAAATTTATAATATTATTGTTTTACATTATTTTTGTATCAAATAGATGGTTTATCTACATATTACNGGGTTCAGGGTTTTACATTTTTCTTTTTTTATCAAATAGATGGTTTATCTACATATTACGTAACTACGAATTTTAAGCATTCTTGTAAAAGCTGATTTATTTCATAATATTTAGTATCAGACACACGTCTGTGGACATCTGATGTTCTTCTTTGTAGTGTCTGCTTTGGAGCTTTCATCGTTTCTGTATTTCCTAAAAATTGAATTATATATATTTTAGATCCAGCAAGATTTGAAGTGAACAGAAGCAAACTAGAGAATAATCTTATCCTTGCTGAATCAAGAATAAAGGATTTAGAATCTCAGGTTATTAAAGACCGACTTCATTTTCCATATTTAAATAATAAAAGGAGCAATTCCAACTTATTCTGGGTTAACTTAGTTTTGGTTTAACTTTGACATAGTTTATATCAACTATTCTTGACAGGAACATCAGATAGAACTCTTTTAGGTCTCGATCAACTCCTGAAGTGTTTAGTTTTCATCCTATACCCCAATGCATTTTTCCTTAACAGTCTCTTTAAGTAGATTTCCAGTACCGGATAGTGAATCTGAATACATTAGAGGTTTTATGACTGAACTCAGAGGAATGAACAGAAAAAAAATATTTTTTATTTAATTGTAAACTGTAATTCAGTATCTTTTAAAAAAGAGTATTGTTTATGTCCAATTCTTTAAAAGGTTTAAATACCACTCCTTAATCAAGACACCCCCTCCCCTTTATTTTTACGTAAAAGTGCGTTAATTAGATCGACCCCAACAACCACTTTATACACATACATCTAAACAGTTTGTTTTTATCTTTGTGACAGAAACAATCTCAAGGAATAATAATTGTTTTTAAACATTTTTGTTGAAGTGAATATTCGCAAATTATCTTTTCTCATAATCTGAGCTCTATTCCCTTATGTCCATTTGACAGCCAAATATTTGTTTTTGAATCTTTTTTGTTTGTTTATTTTCTTGTGGTTTTTAACAATTTAAAAAAAAAATTTAGCGATTGTGATGGTTATTATCGTTAGAACTGACGAGGGTCAACCCAAACCGAAATATATTTTCAATAAATGTGGAACTAACATCTACGTTCTTTTCGCTACAGAGTTTTGGTCCATCACCATCACCAAATTTTAAATATTGAAATATATGTTAGCCCTTTGTATTATATGAATCTATTTCAGTATAGGATTCTGTATTGATATATAATATATGCTGATCATGGCATATTTATGTTCATTGTCCAATGTCCATCTTATTACTTTTATTTTATTTTATAAGACGGGATTTTTATATTGTTCATGTTATGACTGATAATCATAGATTTTCATAAAGAAATTAAGTCTTTGCCACTAACTCAACTTTTAGAATCCCTATATCTTTGCAAACCAAAATCGAAACCTTAGATATTTTAAACTATGAAATCCGATAGATTAAATAATCAAAGTTAAAATATCAAAGTTTTAAAAAGATACAGGGATTCTAAAAGTTGAGTTAGTGGCAAAGACTCAATTTCCCGAATAGTTTATGATATCCTGATTTTTTTATTTTAAAGTCGAGTTTTTTTGGATTTCAGGTGGGTCTACAAAAATCTGTGTAGTCTGACATAATTTAACAAGTTTGCTGACATTATGCATGATGTTGACTTTGAACGAGGGAACCATGGGAAACCATTAATTGGTCATCTAAATAAACATAAAGCTAAAAAAAAAATTTTAAAAGCTTAGTTTAATGGATTTGAAAAATTGTTCATCATTATTATCAGCTAATTATATCGATCGTGTAAGACTGTATTTTTTATATGTAATGAAAAAGCAAATTTTTAAGATGTTTTTGTTTAGTGAAAATGTGCCTTTTAACAAAATATCCACGTTCAGGCCAGTTCTAGAGTGTTGATTGATATCGGCCTTGATCCTATAGAAACCTTCCCCGCCCTTCATAATGTCAGGGAGGCGTGTCTTCATTCTTATAACTTTGACACAGTTTTATATCAATTTTTCGTGACAGGAACATCAGATAGAACTCTTATAGGTCTTGATCAACTCCTGAACTGTTTAGTTTTCATCCTATACCCCAATTCATTTGTTCTTTACAGTCCTTTTAAGTAGAATTTCAGTATTAGCCCTTTGTTTTATATCAAGCTATTTCAGTAAAGGATTTTGTATTGATATATAATATATGCCGATCATGGTATATTTATGTTCATTGTCCATCTTATGATTTTTATTTTACCATTCGGGATTTTTATATATAATGATCATGCGTAGTCTTTCAGATAGAATGTTAAAAATTGAGTCTTTGCCACATAGTCTATTTTCTAATCCCTATATCTTTGCAACCCAATATTAAAGACCTTAGATATTTCAAACTATAAATTCTGTTAGATTAAATAATCTAAGCTTAAAATATCAAAGTTAAAATATTAAAGTATAAATATCAAAGTTTTACAAAGATATATGATTCTAAAAGTTGAGTTAGTGGCAAACACTCAATTTCCCAAATAGTGTACGATATCCTGTTTTTTATTATTTTGAAGTCGAGTCGAGTGTGTAGGTTGGCATAATTTAACAAGTTTACTGACATTATGCATAATGTTGACTTTGAACGAGGGAACTGGGAAACCCATAATTGGTCATCTAAATACACATTTTAAAGCTAAATTTTTTTTTAAAAATCTTAGTTTAATGGATTTGAGAAATTGTTCATCATTATTATCCTCTAATTATATCGATCGTGTAAGTCTGTATTTAGCATATGTATTGAAAAAGCAAATGTGAAAGATATTTTTTTTAATTTAAAATGTGCATTTAAACCAAATATCCATGTTCAGGCCAGTTCTAGAGTGTTGATTGATATCGGCCTTGATCCTATAGAAACCTTCCCCGCCCTTCATAATGTCAGGGAGGCGTGTCTTCATTCCCCCACAGACCCGGGATATCATTCAGCCACGCCTTCAGTTGCCTGTGACGAGGAAATTTTTGAAATTCACCGAGATTTTAGGGTAAGTTAAATAAAAGTGGATCTATATTTGTCCTAATTGTGAAAGGAATTAAGTTATACATCTTATTTTCTAATCCCAATATCTTTGCAAACCAATTTGTTGTGGATATTTCAAACACTGAATTCTGCTAGGTCAAATAATCTAAGTTTTAAATATCTAATGTGTTTACCATTAGGTTGAAAAGACATAAGGATGATAAAATATGAGTTTGTGCCAAATTTACAATTTCTTTGTTTTTAATAGATAAAAGTGGGAAAGAGGGGGGGGGAATAAATGATTCGATATGAGTTTCTATGGTATAGAAGAGTTCAATTCATAGAAAAACCATGAATCAAATTTATATTTTTGGGGAAAGGTTTTTGGAATAAAAAATACATCTAAATAAACACATAGAAATCTCATTATAAATCTGTCTTGTTCTTGTTTACTGTTAATTAAGCAAAGTATGCGTGAGCATATAAGGTAAATACAGAATTCAAAAATACATATAAGGTATATGCGTGAGCATATAAGGTAAACCAATTTCAAAAAGTAGATGAGAACAAGGGGAAAATATAAAAAATTAAAGAGCTCTAATTTAGTTTTTATGATTTTGAAACTTGAAGCACGTATATTTTATCCAAAGGGGGCAAAATTGTGGGATATAATCTTTTTATGATGTTAAATTATACATAATCCTTACGGTAACGTGCTACAGTTACATAAATCATTTTTTAAGACTTTGTATAAGGTTCGTCACATTTTTTTCAAAAGCAAGGGCAAATTTTTGTTTTCATTTTTATTCACAGGTTTAGATTCTAATTCTAATCCTGCCAATGTTAGAAATAAAGCACTTAGCAGCATTAAAACACCCTANATACAAAAATACATATAAGGTAAACCAATACAAAAATACATATAAGATAAACCAATACAAAAAGTAAGATGGGAACAAGAGAAAAAATAAGAAAATAAGGAGCTCTAATTTAGTTTTAATGATTTTGAAACTTGAAGCATGTGTATTTTATCCAAAGAGGGAAAAATTGTTGGATATAATCTTTTTATGATGTTAAAATATACATAATTCTTGGTCAAAAGTTGACTTACGGTTTTAAATTCAAACGTGCACAATTTGGCCTTTACATAAATCATTTGTTTTAAGACTTTGTATAAGGTTCGTCACATTTTTTTCAAAAGCAAGGGCAAATTTTTGTTTTCATTTTTATTCACAGCTTTGGATTCTAATTTTAATCCTGCCAATGTTAGAAATCCAATTTGTTGTGGATATTTCAAACACTGAATTCTGCTAGGTCAAATAATCTAAGTTTTAAATATCTANAGGTTAGAAACTTAAAGGGACAGTAGACGTTATTTAAAGTAATCTTACATTGTGAATAATGTCGTTTCCGTTAAATCTTTGACAGATTATGGATGACGTAGCACGAAGATTAACTATTTTAACCTATTTTAGAATTAAAGAAGTCCAAGAAGAAAAAAATGTGATAAATGAGAAACTGGAAATTTTACAAAAGGTAAAATATTTTACACAATAAATTCAACAGACATAGACATTTTAAATATTTCATTTTTTACCTGACATACTTTTTTGTTGAATATTTATCTGCACTCATAAGATATAATTAACTAAATATTCATTTTTACTTATTTTCACGAATTTTTGCTTTTATGATTGCCTTTATAAAAATATTGCTTAAGGTTACCGAGGATAATTCTGAAATTGATCAGCTAAACAGCCTAAATAATAATCTGAAAAAGGTAATTATTGAAAAATAAAGAAAAATACACAGTTGGTAAAACTGACCAATTTTTGGAAAAGATAAAAAAACTTTGAAGAATGATGATTAATTAAATATTAATTATAAAGATTGACTGAAAGAATAATTATGAAGATGCAAGGATGTATCAACTGCAGAATAAGGGACCTGATTAAAGTGGGTTCCCGTTCTTCAGCTGGGACTATTCAATCAAGTCCCACAAGCCTATAGGGTTTTTTTTGGGAGGGGAGGGGGGCCTGGGGGGATGTATTGACACAGTTAGCATATTTTTAAAGGTCGTTGTAATTTGAATTGGCCTTAATAGAGGGGTATGTTCGAATCACAACAGTACCCCTGAAACCTTATATCAGTAATCAATATCAATCTATAATTTGGAAGATAATGGTGTTTTCTGGATTGAGAGCTCTCTAGGGTACCGTTATTAGTGAATCGGACATTCAATGAAATTATAGATGAATGAATTAATGAATGAAAGGATGTGGATGAGACTAAACTAAACTTTATAACTTAATCCAGGATATGTGTGAGAAGACTGATTTAATTAACAAACTCCAGAAGAACTTGGAAACCCTAAACCAACAATATTTATCCCTACAGGTTCAATTTAATATATGTATAATCAATAACATCGAATAATATAAAAACCTTAACTATCAAACCGATAAATTCAAGGTGCTCGGAACTAAATATTTTTCTCAAGCTCAAATTTTCTAATTCTCATACTTTTTTAACCTGTTGTCTTTAATTTGCATTTTAATTGCAAAGAAAGGTTATATAAAAAAAGTGATTGCTAATATGTCATGGTTAAATCAAGCTAAAAATATGGTATAACCGTATACATCCATGAAAATGTAACCATCACTTAGGCGAACAAATTATTTTTTAGACCAAAATGTTGAAAGATCAGGAGGAAAGGGAAACAGACAAACAGAATGAAATGAAGAAGAAGGAAGAAGAGAAAATGAGAATAAAGAAGATGGAAGATGTTGAAAGAAAAATGAAAGAGAGACAGGAGGGGATTGAAAACGATCTTCGTTTACAGATCTTAAATCTGAACCAGAAACTTTAATCTACTTTACAAGGTTCAAGTTAATTTTATCAATCTTTTTTTTACAATTTTCTATCTTTTTAATTTTTTTGATAAAATGTTTATAAAATAGATGGTATAAGTCAGGATTAAGAATTGTTGTAAATGCCAAACGTCCGCTGGCCTTCTTGCTGTTTCTCTTTGGAATTAATTTTATCAATCTAGAAATCAAAATTATTCACTAGTTGTAACATTTTTACAAATAAATAGGATCAAAATACTATTTGGATTTGGTTAATTTAACAAAAATTTCATACACTAGGCTTTTCTGTTTAAATTGTGTTCATGTTTTTTTTGTTTACATTTTAAAACAAAGAAGAAAAAAATATTGCGGATTTTCAAAAATTTAAATTTTTTTACAAAATTAAAAACCTTTAAAACACATTTTTTAAAATTTTTATCATTCATAAACCTTCCCTGTGGTCATGTGATGTCCCATAAAAAATTTGGGCCCGATCGGTTCAGCCGTTTTGACGTTTATTGGATACAAACAAACAGACAGACAAACAGACACCCAGACAGACAAGCCAAATTTACATATAGATGTAGATGAGAAAATTAAACCCTGGAGAAAAGAATGACATAAGTTTATATATTGTTATGTTCATGATTTAGAAGAGAAAATGAGAAAGTTTCTAAAATCGTAGTCAAAGTTAGATCATTCTAATATACTGTTCAGGATATCGATCAGAAAGTGAGATGGTTGGAAAAATTGTGTTAAAGCCAAGTTATTCTAACATACTGTTCAGGATGTCGATCAGAGAGTGAGATGGTTAGAGAAAGTGTGGTTAATGTTAGGTTATTCTAACATACTGTTCAGGATGTCGATCATAAACTGAGATGGTTAGAGAACGCGTGGTTATTCTAACTTACTTTTTGAGATGTATATCAAAAAGTGAGATGGCTGGAGAAAGCGTGGTTAAAGTTAGGTTATTGTAACATACTATTCAGGATGTCGATCAGAAAGTGAGATGGCTGGGGAAAGTGTGGTTAAAGTATTAAACCTTGAGGCATCTTTAACTCATTTCAAAACATGTCTACAGGTCAGTCCAGGTCTACAGGTCAGTCCAGAGGGAATTTTGATTTTATATTTTTGATAATTCGATAATATTCATATTTTTATATTCAGATAATTAGATAATTTTATAATTTGATTATTGCATGATATTTCAATTTTTGTATAATATGATGATGATGATGATGATGATGATGATGATGATGATGATGATGATGATGATGATGATGATGATGATGATGATGATGATGATGATGATGATAATGATTAAGGAGGTCGAGGCTGAAAACCTCGAATTAAAAGATCAACTGACAACACTATTAGAATCTCAGACTTCCAAATCATCAGGTAAAATTATTGTGTAAAAATATACTGTTATGTAAACAAAGAATGTTCACAGTTTTAATCAAATCAAATCAAATATGTCAGATTGAATATCATAAAAATTATCTGAAAAAATTATAAATCCTCATCATGAGGGAAAACGAATCCAGTTCAACACTGTGAGTGGGGGGGGGTCTATCATTTATTAAACTTAAATTAGTTGTAGAGGGAAAATTTTTTAGAATATTGATGAATGAAGATTCTTGCGACGCCGCGCCTGTTAAAGGCATAAAATCAATAAACTGTATCTGTTCAAACATAAAACTCTGATTTTCTAATCCCTATATCTTTGCAACCTCAGGTCGTAGCCCTCAGATTTTTCAAACTATGAATTCCTATTAGATCAAAAAGTAAGGTTTCCAATACAGATCACAAAGAGATTGAGATTAGAAAAATTCAAGTTTGTGGCAAAGTTCTTTTACAAGCAAACTCCAGCGGAAAGGAATAATAAGATTCGAGCACAAACCCCATTAACATGAGATTGAGAATAATTCTGTTTATATAAAAAAATTATCTTAATTTTGTAGAATGTTTAGATATATGAGCTTTTATTAGTTATTTCTAAGAAAAATGTTATATATATGTTTATGAAAATGAATAATATATATCTACACGTGTACACGAAACCTGGAAACGTATGATACACCCCACTGCATTTTAATTTTAATGAATTTAGCTTTTGAAATTTCCATTAGTTCATGTGTTTTCTTCTTGAATTATAAATAAAAAAAAATTTAGATTTCGAAGAACTTTTCTGTTTTTTTTAAAGAGTGTTTTTATGTTTCTTCCACAAACTGCAGTACACGTTGGAGTGGAAACAAACTGTACGCGATCCGAACCAGTATCAGTGATGATTTTTCTGTTCTCTCATTGGCTGAAACAAAATTTCCCTAGCTTATAATTGGCTGCTAGTTCTCACCTCACGGGATATCAAATAAAGATTAAATTAATCTGCATATTAACCAAAGCTAGAGATCGGGAATCGGGATATCAAATAAAGATTAAATTAATTTGCAGATTAACTAGAGATTAATTAAAGCTAGAGATCAAACCAAACATTATCTTGATATCCTCAACATAACAGTGTCCAGCGTAGGTATATCGTTCTTGTTTAAATATTATATCTGTTTATTCCTATGGCTCGAGGGTTAATATATTGAATATATATAAATATTAAATAGTCTTCTTGATAAATAATTATGATGACATACAACTCATATCTATAGCCTAGGGCACTCATTAGTAGGATNATGTTTGATAAACTGTTTAAATAATTGCTTATTTGTCCATTGCAGACGCTTTTTTGTTGAAACAAATCAAAATCCTTGTCTTGAAGCTAGTGGCATGTCGAACTGAACACTCTGTTTTACTTTTGAACATTCTTGACAAATTGGGACACTTTGGTTTACTATGTGACATTCTTGTCGAATTGGGTCACATTGGTTTATTATGGAACATTTTAATGAAATCGGGACATTTTTGGTGTATTATTGGACATTATTATAGAATTAAGACACTTTGTTTTGTTATGGAACATATTAATAAAATTGGGACACTTTGGTTTTCATAGGGCTGCCTTCAAACCGAATTAAAACACTGTAAATTTCACTTGTGTTTGCATTCATGAAGAATTGAGACACGTTGGTTTACTGTGGTTGAATTCATGTAGAATTGGGATACAATGGTTTACTGTGTTTGCATTCATGAAGAATTGGGACACTTTGGTTTACTGTGTTTGCACTCATGAAGAATTGGGACACTTCGGTTTACTGTGGTTGAATTCATGTAGAATTGGGACATGAAGTTATGAAGGTATGAATCAATGCCTCGCATCTAGCGTATATTTATTTATTTGCGTTCATCCATCCACGCCTTTATACATACATATATATATTTGTAGGGACCTTACCCGTCGTCCTGGGACTAGGAGTAATTATATGACTTAATAAATGCATAGAGATTAAATTGTTAAAAAAGTGTGAATTCAAGTGTATAATCCACAACGGTACCATTTAAACAGTTAGTTATTTTTCCAAAGGCAACTTCCAAATGTGCAATTTTCCAAGAGACAACTTCCCAAAGGTTAGGTTAAGCCTTCCGAGGCGCCGCAGGCTGCAATGGGGTGTGGGCCGAGCGCTGCGTCTACTTAACGTCGTTTAAACATCTAAGCAAAAACGAAGGATCTATCTTAGATTTTCTGTCTAAAAATATTTTTTTTAATTGCGGTTGCTCTGTAAAAAAAACTTGTAAATTTTGCAGCATAGATCATTGAGGAAAATAACAACATATCTTATAACGATATATATATATATATAACGATATATATAACGATATCTTCCTGAGATCGTTGTGAATCGAAGGGTAACATAAAATTACGTTGACAGTTTCTTTAAGTGCTTGTGATTTTGACAGAACTATACGATGGTATAATAGTTCTAGAATGGAATTAACTGTTTGCCACACAATCAATTTTATTATCTTTATCTGTGCAGCCTGTTGGTGTAAATCATTTATATCTCAAAAATCTTATCTAACATAATTCATAGTTTAAAATATCTGCATGCTGCAAGGATATATATATAAATTAGAAAATCAGAATTTGTGACAAAGACTCAATTCCTTAATTGATTATCTCTACAACTGATTCTTTTTTAAATACTCCAATGTCTGAATGGCAGGTCTATGACATGAATAAAGTCGGGTCCTGATATCACGTGACCTGATCTAATCAATCTATAAGGACATGTTGATCTAGTTGACAGAAGGTTGAATTCACGACTCATATAAAGGGTGTACAAAAACTTTACCCTTTTTACTCTCTCAAAGGCTGAATTGTTTTCAGATCATATTAAAATAAATATCACAATATCTCTAGGATGTTAGGACTACATGGTTAAAAATTTATAAGATTTGGTCAATTCTGCTTTGAATGGTGGCGTTTTTAAACACCCTTTGTAAAAATACATTATTACGTATCCATATAAATAGGGTGTTATATTTCTACATGTGTATTGTGTGTATAACGAGCGGGGGAAGGCAGGCGCGGCCATGAGCCACCATTATTTCCCCTTCCGTGCCACATATTAGCTTTTTTCTCTTTTGGCAGCCATGAGCCACCACTATTTCCCCTTCCGTACCAGCACATTTGACTCTTCCGGGCAAAACTACTTTTTAAAATGGTATATTTAGGGCCTTTAAAGTGTGATTTTAAAAAATCCAGCCGCGTCACGCAAAATAGCACAACTCAACCCATTTTTTCAATTCTACTTAAGATTAATATTTTGTGTGTTGAATTCTTAAACTATTTTACATGTTTTACAATGAAATGTTTGAGAAATTTGACTGAGTATTGCATCTTGAAATATCACAAATTCTAATGATTATTGGTTATTGAGTGATTTTAAGATGGATTTAGTATAATGAGTCAGTAATTGAATAATATAACACGTTGTTTAAATCCTTAATAAAGCAATCTCAGAATTTATTCATTATTGTCCTATAGTACTTATTAGTTGTCTATAATTTCTAAAGTTTGACTAAAAACTCAAAATATTTGAATTAAGGTATTGGATCTGATCTAAGTGACTCTGATCTGGACCCACTCTACGGGTTTAATACTTCAAGAAGTAATTCACCTGAGAAAACTACACAAAGAAGCATACATACAGTCACAGGTATCATATATTGCAGTGGTCACCAAAATGTAGTGGAAAACCCCCATTTAAAGGGACTGTAGGCTTAATTTCAAGTGACCCACCATCTTTAGAGAGACATATCCGGTTCGAAACAGTACCTTTAAAACCTTTGACTGATAAAGGTTGCTCCAACAGTAACGCATTTAACTGTTTTAACACTTTCATTGCAAGCTTTACCGCAATTCCAGCGGTTTTCAAGAGATTTACACAACGAGATCTCTGTACACGATAAACAGTTCAAGGTTCTAAGGGCGCTGTTGTAAATCAAGCATATTCTTATTATAATAGTATTATGTGTTTAGAAAGTAGCCTCATACACCCTGAAGACCAGATAAGCCCTGGGACCCAAACCCAAAATACATTTGATCCGGACACAGTTAATCCTGATAGAGTTAATCCTGATATGGAAATTAAATCTGTTTGCGAGATGTTTACCCAAACCTGTACTCAGGAATACGAGTTGCAGATTAACAATCTAACCAAGGTAAGAAAAAGTATNCTGCACCACCCCAACCGACTCACACATTTCATTACAAGGGGATATGGGGACTATTCACACAGTAAACTGCCCCGTTTTCCACATTGATCTAGTTGTTCTGTTTAGTACTACCGGACCCCACTCCTCTCCTCTCAAAAATAGTTGTTTTTTTTTCTAAAATGAAAGTTACTTTTGTGAAAATATAGAGAAAATCAATAATTTTGAAGGGAAATGTTACATTTTCATTTGTATTTTTTTTTAAAAGATTTTTTCTTTGATTAAGATTTGCTCTGCTATTAAATTTTTTCTGATCTTTCCATTAAGACGTAATTTCAAGTTCAATGGGATCTTTATAATTGATGACTAGCTGAAGGACTTGGCGTTGCTCGTGAAAAAAAAATTGAAAAAAAATTTGAAAAAAAATGTCGAAACCCATGAGTGTTCACAAAAAATTTCAGCCCAATCGGTCCAGCCGTTAGGCCTGCTATACGCAAAATATATATGAATGTCTTGTTTTATTATATAGATTATACATGGAATTAAAGGGTACCGTTGTGAATCGAACATTTCACTCTATAAAGGAAGGGTCAGTTGAAATGTGTCTGTACAGTTTTCATGGACGTCTCATATTTCTGGAAACCCTTTTGTAAAACTTTTCCAAAAATATAATAAAAAGTATGTAAAATGACACGGTCTCCTTTTATCTTTACATTATTTTGTGTTCAAAACAACTTGTTTAACACAAATAAAATTTGATTACTTTTTATCATTTGTTCTAACAGAATTCACAGTTTAAAATATCCAAAATCAACGGCATTGAGTTGTGAAGAAGTTGGGATTATGATAGCAGAGTTTATGACGAAGACTTAATTTCTTTTCATTTTATTGAATCCTAAGCAATGTTCTTTCAAGAAAGTGAAAGTTTCCAGGAGAACGATCCTGACTGATGTACACAAAGAATTGAATGCAATACAGTTAAAGTTCTCAGATAATTGGAAACTTACAGGGAAATTCACTTTAGTTTATACAGACGTGTCTTATGAATATTTTTAGACAAACATTTTTTTATCAAATTTTATTTCAGGAGATACAGAAGTTGTCTGAGTTCAAGCACTTGGTTGAAAACAGAGGAATTCAGGGAATACAAGGTAATTCAGGGAATACAGGGTATACAAGGTAATTCAGGGAATACAGGGAATACAAGGTAATTCAGGGAATACAAGGAATACAAGGTAATTCAGGGAATACAGGGAATACAAGGTAATTCAGGGAATACAGGGAATACAGGGTAATTCAGGGAAAACAGGGAATACACGGAATACAGGGTAATTCAGGGAATACAAGGTAATTCAGGGAATACAGAGTAGGTCTTTAACATTTATTTTTTTCCTTTTATTTTTAATCATTTATTAAATCATACTGTAGTTCTTATTCATTTAATAGCTTGGGAACCCAGCTTTGCCTGGAGAAGATTCACTCAACGTAAAATTCAAAACTAGACTAAGAACATTTCCATAGTTCTACCGAGTTCCCCAATAAAATTTTGAGGCAAATCGGTCAAGGGGTTCATAAGTTATGATCGGACATACAAAACAGTCATACATTATTATTTAGATATAGATATTGTATTATTTATTCATTATATTTGTTGATTTTTTAATATTGAATAGTGGTATAAAACTGCATTTTTATTACGTTTTCTGAAAATGTTAACTAATTATTTCTAACTGTTTTTAATAAGAAAAAAGTTTTTAAAAATATTGTAAAATAATTCATTGGAACAGAATTATTCATTATCTGTAGATTTGTTGATTTCTATATTATTACTTTTTTATTCATTATTCAATATATATATTCAATCTAACTTTCATAACGAGAGTGAATAATATTACAATATTGCAATTTAAAACGGGTTGACCAAGATAAAAAAGTTTTAAAAACATCTAAAATTAACAAACAAAATTACTTAAAATGATATATTTAGGCTCTCCCGTCCTTCATACGGTTCTAGAATCCAAAAGTCCAGTGTTAACAGACAATGTTGTTAATCAAAATTGGATGGAAATAATGGACGAGAGCGAAGAAAACGAAAGTTTACTAAATGAATTTGATTTAGAAACGTCTATAAGGTAAATGAATAATTTTTAACGTTATCATGAATTTAATCTACGAAAAAAACGGCATACAAACAAAAACTCTCCCCCTTTATGATTGTTGTACATATTTAGAAAATAACTTTATTTTGACTGATTTATTGGCGCCGAAGACCCAATTTTTTAATCCATTCTTAAGAATCAAAAAGAACGGGCCCACTCTCTCTGGTTGCGCCCCAAATGTTTCCACATTTTTCTTCGGGGGGGGGGGGGTCCCCTTCCACCCACCCCTAATGCTGCCTCTGAATAAAAAACGTGATTAGCAATGTTTTAAAACGATGGGAAAAAGGATTGCTAATTATCACCCTGTAAAATATAATATACTAGCTGAAGTGCCCGGCGTTGCCCGTGGAATTTTTTAATAAAATCGTTTGGCCAGCTATAGCTAACCTACAAATATAAATACAAATATATATATATATATATGGGCGAATAGCTTCATTATATAGATTTTATATTGCAGAGTGAAGGGTGAATACTTGAATGAACTAAAAAATGGATTGAGGACAATGAGGATGGAAGTTATCAGGGTGAAGAAGGAAAAGGAGAGGATGGAGAATGAAATGGAGAACATGAAGAAGGAGAAGGAGATGATGGAAGAGGAGCTGGAGAAGATGGTGGAGGAGAGGGAGGAGAAGGAGGATGAGTTTGAGAGGATTAAGGAGGAGAAGGATGAACTCGAAGAACTGGAAAATGATTCAAGATTAAGGTATCACTCACACTCTTTTAACACAAAATGTTCGTAGTTTCAAAATATTTTGAGTATTTGTAAATTACGAAAAAAAATAGGGTTTAGTATCCAGACAGAGCTGGGTTCCCGATCTATGGTAAATCAGATTTCAGAGTAATCAAAGTAATCAGATTACGGAAATAAGAAAGAAACTTATACTCACACTCAGTACACATTGGGGTGCATCAACCTCACATTGGTTTATATAATATCAAGTGACGTACCCCTCATTCATAAAAGTTACGTACCCTTCATTTATAAAAGTGACGTACCCTTCATTTATAAAGTGATGTACCCTTCATTGATAAAGTGACATGTAGGGTTTCCAGTGAACGACGAAAAAATGCGAAAATTTTCAGTCACATTTCGTAAACGTTTTAGCAAAATTTCGTATTTTTTCGCAATTTTGCAATTGTTTTGAAAACTCTGTATTTTTCGCGAAATGTTCGGGTTTTTTTTTTTTGCATAATTTCCATTTTTTCGCATTTTTCGCGAGCGAAAGAAATAAGAAAATGAAGTGAAATGATTGCAAAAAAAAATTTCGCGAAAAATGCAGAATTTTCACGAAACGATTTTTCCTTTTCGCTGGAAACCCTAGTGACATGTCAGATTTACAATGGTACTCTTTTTGATCAAGAATGAATGAACTATTCTTGTTTTTCAATTGTGGCTCATACATTAAAGTTTTCGATGACTCGAACTTTCATTTTTTAATAGATCGTACAAAACATTATTTCTTCTAACAGTGCTCGACAAATGGGTTATTTCTTGAAATTCAGAAGTAGCCATTCTAGAGTGTCATCTTTATATATTATATTGGGTAGAAACGAATGAAAGTGCAGCATATGGGTTTATATATAGTCTTCATACTAACTGTCTAATACCTGTCAAATCACAACATCTGGACTATTTGTCGTTATTTTGACCTCTCATGAACTAAAATAAATTGGGAAAAGTCCCAAAACTTTTTAAATATGTCGGCATAAGATTTTTATACAATGCCCATATTCTGATGGAGATTCTAAAGATTTACTGGACCGACTTTGCGACACCGTCACGCCTCCAGGTTTCTTTTACACCCATCAGAGTAAAAGAAGCATTCTTGTTAGCTTTCTGCAATAACTCTTCAGAAAAATGAGAAGTTTTAAAAAACAAGCTAAAAGATTTCAAACTTGGGTTTAATTATATGTTTTGTGCTTCGTCCGATAAGATCGAAAAAGTTCTTTAAAAATTCATCTTTTTTGTTTTTCTAGATCTCAGCAGTTAGAGACTGAAGTTGAGAGACTGGAAAAGAATTTAAAGATTGTAAATGAAGAAGTGATCGTTGAAAGAAAAGCATTAAAACATTTACGAGGTGTTTATCATCAACTTAAGGTAAGACATTTTCTTTTTGAGATTTGGCCTCAACATTTGCTCCTTTAAATTGTTGCTAATGCAGACCGCAATATCTAAACACCACAACATTTAATAGCCTGACACGGAATCCCTTTTAACAAAAATAATCTATGAAATATTCTGGTTATAGGAAACTATATGTGAATTTTGAGAATTATCAAAATGTAATGCTTTAAACCTCCTCGGATACTAAATGAACACTGATGCATCTATTCTTGTTTACAAATTCCGCCTAGAGAGAACTGGTTTCACTATGTACGCAGAGTATACGCGACCTCATTAATTTCCTTTCATTAGTACCTTGGTGGATACCAACATTTGCTCTAGAGATTATAACAAATATTTTATGTATAAAAAATGATTAAATGCTTTAAATTAAATATAACTTTTGATCGTTACCAACTCGTTGTAAATAAGGAAAAATAAGAAACAAAATGTTAACGATTACTTTTTGAGTTTTGTGAAAAAGGCATGGCACCAATTTTTTAAGAAAAGTTTGTCAATTAAAACAATTAAGTTTATTTGCCCCTTCGATTTATTTCTGTACAAAACCCGCCGATTAAGTAAAATTACAGTTTAAGTAAGTAATTAGTGGAACAAAATATCCGGAAAAGCAACATAACATCTCTTTTAAATTATCAAAAAAAAATGTAATTTTAGGAAAAAGAGACAGAATTCTGTGGGGAAATTGAATATTTGGAATCACTGCTTCAGCAATATGAAACAAAACTAGCAGGTGCAAAAATATACTTTAAAAAAATACAATATTGATATGAATGTCTGTACGTGCCCAGCCCTAGTGCTATGAATATTGATATGAATGTCTGTACGTGCCCAGCCCTAGTGCTATGAATATTGATATGAATGTCTGTACGTGCCCAGGCCTAGTGCTAAGAATATTAATATGAATGTCTGTCCGTGCCCTGCCCTAGTGGGGAATTAATATGTGAATCGTACAAACCACTCTACAAAATTTAAGGTCACTTAAAATTAAAATTTAAATGTTAAAGATTTAGTTCTTTTGTCCACAATTTTACAAAATATTCAATATTTAATGCTTAGCATAAACATTATATGAAAATTTTAGAAATTTAAATATAAGATTATTTCAAGTGTTATACTTGAATATTGTAAAGGACAACAATAGATTCCTGTCCAAATGTTTTAAAATTTGTATTTTTCATTGTTGATGACAACACTTAAAAATACAAAATATAAAAATATATATCTATCATTCTAAAATAAAAAACTTTGCATATTGGCGTTATTACAAATCACCACCATTGCAGAGATGGCAATGTCCGATTTACAACGATACCCTTGAAACCTTAATCTAATCAAAAATGTGAAGTCGTTTTTCTGCCTCGAAAGTGTTTTCCGAATGAAGGCTCTAGTATCTATATAGTAAAACAAGACATTCGTATATATGTTCCCTCTGGCCGACCAAACGCTTTACCGAATGGGTTCTAAATGTTTGAGTAAAATTTGGATAGCCTTGGGGTGACATAGGCTAAAAAACTAGATTCTTTTCAAAAATCCAAACTTTTTTTCCTTCAAAAAACCGGAATTAAAAAATTCCCCGGACAACGCCGGGCCCTTCAGCTAAAGGATCAAAAGGTACCGTTGTGAATCAGGCATTGCCCCTCTTTAAATGTAGGGCCCCTTCGAATGTTAACCCTCTTTATAATAATCTTTAGTCAATCAATCAATCAATCAGTCAAAAACATAAAAATTCATAGAAAAGTAAACATGGTTTTTTGAAAATATCTTCTATACAAAAAAAAAACTTTTGTTAACTAAAAATTCTTTAAAAAGACAACTGAAAGTGTTTTTAAGTTAAAACTTTTCTTGATCGATAGAGACGTCCCAGGACTCCAGGCGATATTTTTCCTTAATAATGTCATTCAATCAATCAATCAACCAACCAATAAGGTACCTACACATGGTTCAGAAATAACTTTCTTCAGGCTGAAGCAAAACTTTATTATACTCGAAATTATTTTAAAAAGACCAATGAAGATTTTCTAAAGTTTAAAACTTACTTGATTGTGTTGTGAATAACATGATACTGCGGTAGTTCTTGTTCTAATTTCCTAAATGTAAAAAAATTATGAAATTCAAAAATATCTTCTCCTTTCCCTTTGAATTGGATCCGCATATTTCTGCAGATCCGGATCCGGGACTCAGGAAGCAAAAATGGTCGGATCTATGGCACTAGTACTAAATATGGTATTAAATAGAGGCAAAACGATGGTTGGTTCCTTGAAATTATGCTTACAGTCCCTTTAATACAGATTTAACTCCCTCGAGGGCTTCTTTAAGTCATGCCAACAATAGGAATTCTAAAAGATATAAAAGATAACTATCTATTATTCTAAAATCAAGATAAACATAGAAATAACTTTGCATATTTTAATTACCTTTGCGGCTGTGGTATTGTTTAAAAATATCTTTACAAAGTGTTTCCGTTCAATTATAATCTAGTTTGTTGCTAATTATCTTCTAAATCTGTAAATCTTAGTTTTTCGTTTTTTTAGAGCGTAGGGGGGGGGGTACGGCATCCACCCCCTAGCTTCCCCTATAAAATTTGTCATATCGTTAGAAAGCAACAGTCACACTGCACAATTGTTGTAACTCATGTTTATTAGACTATTTAAAGTCTAAAAGTCGTCTTCATATTCCAGAGTTTTTCTGGTTCTGATTTTGTCAATAAAACTATGGTATCACAAGTATATGTTGTCTTTTCAGCTCCCTTTCTGAACATACTATTCATGTAATATTCCATTAATGTCCTCTGTGGTGTTGTTAGTATTTAGTCGCCAAAAACGGTTTATTTCATAATCTCATGCTTTTGCATAAATTCAGAATATCATTCATTTAAATTCAGAATAGCTTGTAGTTACAGACATGGACAGCTTTAAATGATACTTTAGTTTAATAATTAATAGCATGTACAATTCCAGGGGGGGGGACAACCAGGGTATGTTGTTGATGGTGGGTGGGCGATGATTCTGTATTATTTTTAGATGTTTTTATTTTTATTTTCCTCATGGAGCCCGAAATACTAGACAAAGTATCGCCATGAAACCCGATATCGAAACCGGGTTTCGTAAATTGGGTAGCACAATTTTGTAGAGAAAATTTTTTTATTCGAAATATTATTTATCGATGATTTAACGACTTGGATCGTTAAGAGAAATATAAAACCTATCGTTTTTTAAAAACAAACCAAAAAAACGAGCGATTTAAACTCCTTCGAACGAACTTGGAAAAACTGTAGTTTTTTTACTGAACGAACGATTTTTTGAAACAAACTTTTAAAAACTAGATAGTTTTTTACTGAATGAACGATTTTTTCCAAAAATCTTACAAGAATAAACTATAGTTTTGTTACTGAACAACCAATTTTAGTGAATGAAAGATTTTACTGAACGAACGATCGTTCAGTGAGAAAAGAAAGATGGAAAGTGAACAATAATTTTAAAAACAACCGAAATCAATTTTTTTAACGATTGAATAAACACGAACGAAATGGGTCGTTTACGAACGTTGAACGAACGAAATGACAAAAGAGCCAATCGCACCTAACTCTACTTGAATGTACTACTCTACGTACTCTATGTCAATATTTTTCTAGGTTTCTTGTGTTAAGGATTGAAAGTTAAAATTGAAATTCAAAAGTTCAGAATTCATAAGAAAAAAACCATTAACCCCCCTCCCCCCCCCTACTCATTTAAAAATACCTGAATTGCGCCCCCGATCTAATTTTTATACTGTGTTTAGGGATGGAGGAGCGTGATACCAAGCTGAGAAGCGCTCTTTATTCTCTTGTGACAGGTGTCACTATCTGGAGTTATTATCATCATCATGCATTCTGCTTATACAAGGTACTCAATTCCCATGTTTATTGGGACACTCTGTACAATATACATTATTTCGTATTTAAAGGTAGTGTATATTGTATACAGGGTTCTCTATAAAGGTAGTGTATACTGTATACAGGGTTCTCTATAAAGGTAGTGTATACTGTATACAGGGTTCTCTATAAAGGTAATGTATACTGTATACAGGGTTCTCTATAAAGGTAGTGTATACTGTATACAGGTTTCTCTATAAAAAGCAAGCCCTAGATTTTAAACCTATTAAAAATGTGCTGTTAAAATATCCGGTCTCCGAGTTGTGAAAAAACTGAATATTTGTACATTCCAAACTCTGAATTTCTGATTTTTATAAGTTTGCAACCTGATGATGTAAACCTTTGATATTTCAAACCTAGACTATTTGATTCAACAAGTCATAGTTTGTAATATTAAAAGTCAAACAACATTAAGTTAAAATATAAGTATTAGAAAATTACAGATTATATCAGAAAGATCACTTCACAATCAATTGTATGTACGTTTCACAGAAAATGTACATGAATTTTGGTATGGGATCGTCCCCCGAAAAAATCCGAGAACAAGCCCTTTAAAGGGAGTGTTTGCGAAAAATGAAAGGGGGTATAGGCTTAATGCGATAAAAAGCGCGTTTGATTGCTACTAATCTTACTTCTATCTGTTGCGTCTCTATAAGGAGAAACTTGTTAAAGACGTTTCATACCGAATAACTTAGCGCCCATACAAATTGAGAAAATGGCAACATACTACTTAGATCGTAAAAAGATCAATTTAACTTCAAACAAATCATTCAGATATTACAACCTATTGTCATCGATTATCTTTCGCCACATTTATATATAGTTGATTATGTTTTAATTGTTATAATCTAAGAGTTACTTATAAAAACATTTATTCCTGTTTCGAGGATTTTTGGTAATGAAGACGACATTTTCATATTTTCCAGGAATGTTCGAAAGCAAGTTGTAAGCTAAATATTATTTTAAAAAACAAAATCAAAACTAGTATGAAATATCAAATATATACAAATACAAGTGGCGAAAGATAATCGATGACTATAGGTTGTAATATCTGAATGACTTGTTAGAAATTAAATTGATTTTTTACGGTCTAAGTAGTATGTTGCCATTTTCTCAATTTGTATGGACGCCATGTTATTCGGTATGAGACGTCTTTAACAAGTTTCTCCTTATAGAAGCAACAGATAGAAGTAAGATTATTAGCGATCAAAAGCGCTTTTTTATCGCATTAAGCCTATACCCCCTTTCATTTTTCGCGAACACTCCCATTAAATAAAAATTATCTTTGGAATTACCATTTTATATAACAAAATAATAATATTAATTGCTTCCATTAGTTAATTATAATCTTTACAAAAAAGGAAGAATAATACATATTTTCTGTTTTTCTGATTAGTGTTCTTTTCTAATTACTTTAATGCTTAATGGTAAGCAAGACTAATTTCATTACAGTTAAGATACATATAATTGTTGATATTATATGTCATTATTATATCTTACAATATTTTATTTACTCTCAATATCTCTTCAATAAGTGGTGTTATGATTGAAAACATATAAAATTTGAATTTTACCTGCAATTTACTTTTGTGTAATGTGGAATTCAAAGTTTGAAATATCAAAGACTTGAAGCATCTAGTTTGTATAGATGTAAAGATTAGAAAATCAGAGTTCAGGAAGATAAGACGATTAATACTCCCCATCTTTATGTTTTGTTGAGTTCAGGAAGATAAGACGATTAATACTCCCCATCTTCATGTTTTGTTGAGTTCAAGACAATAAGACGATTAATACTCCCCTTCTTCGTGTTTTGTTGAGTTCAGGACGATAAGACGATTAATACTCCCCTTCCTCACTTCATGTTTTGTTGAGTTCAGCTATGTTTTGCATGTTTACGAACCCGAGTTAAAATATTTAATGGATTTTGCGGAATTTCCCCCCGAACTGGAAATAAACCTGTGTTTTATTTAGAAAGCGGGACTTCCATACCACCACCAGCAATCCTCATCCTCAGTTTCTTCAAGCTTTAACCTACCCTTGGAGTATACAACGTTTACAGAGACTCCTTGTAGTTCCACAGAGTGTAAAGGAACCCTGGAACATGGTTCAGATCTAGATAGTTTACTGGCGGAGAATCAAGAGCTCCGGGTAACCCTCGAGACTTTACTAAAGGAGAAGCATGATCTGGTTTCCTATGGGCTGGATCAAGAGGAGAGAATTGGAACCTTACAAGATAAGCTTGAGAAACTTGACCAGGATAGAAACCTTACCCTTGAGAAACTAAACCTCAACCTCAACCTGATCAGGACGGAGAAGGATTCCGTAGAGGAGAAGTTAGAAAACCATACTCGGAGAATATCAGGGTTAGAGTCTAGTCTTCAAATACTCACACAAGAGAGAGATGATCTATATTTAGTCCTTTCAGGTAAACATGCAGTGGTCTACACAATATAAGAGAATGTAATTGATAAATCAAAGCATGTTTTCTATTCAATGTTTTTTTCCAAAACTGCTATGCTCTAAATATACACTGCTCTAAATATACACTGCTCTAAATGATCTCGAATCTTAAAGTCAGCGTTTTATTAAACTAAATTCTAGAATTCTAGAGACCACTTTAAACTAAATTCTAGAGACCACTTTAAACTAAATTCTAGAATTCTAGAGACCACTTTAAACTAAATTCTAGAATTCTAGAGACTACTTTAAACTAAATTCTAGAATTCTA